ATATATTATTCCATTACTATTTATTTAATTTTATATTATTGATGTAAATATACAAACATTAAAAAGATTCCAAAAATTGATCCAATTTATGTAGACTTAATTTCAAACTCTAAAAACCAAAATTGATTATATTTAAAACATCAGTCAACTTATTAAATGTTATATTATTAATTATATATTAAAAAAGTTAGAAATATTCACTTAAAAGATTGAAGCAATTCCACATATTAAATTTATGTCTTCCCAGCGGCTATAGAGACAAATGTTTCATAAACATTTAAGATAATTTATTTGTAAAATTGACCATGTTCTGACCACGCTTATGCGCACAGGTGTCCATTCGTACAGAGCTGGAAATCAAAAACTATTTACGACGCCCGGCCACGCCTCCAGTTATTTTTTTGCGGCTGTGAATGGTGACAAACTGTTGGTTTTTTCTTGTGCCAGCCTAATTTTGTTTTCTTTAAATTTACAATGAATAAACATCAGTAAGACCTCAGATGGAAGGAAAGCAGTGCGCGTAACGGCGAAAATATTGAGTTTACTGGATTTCAGTTTGGCTCCCTCTCTGCGTGTGGCTTGGCTGAGTGCGAGCCTGTCCAGAATGTGAAAAAAGAAAGGAAAGGAAAACAAGAGGAACATAATACAGGGCATCTGCTTTTCATCGCAAACTTTTTCGCTTTCAATTAGTTCATAAAAAAGTTTTACTTTTGCATTTTAAGGCATACCTGAACACCAATTAAAATACATTTATGACGCTCAAGTTAAACGGTCAGCTGTAAGAGCCCGTAAAAACTACTACTCAAGACCCGGCACTGTAGTATCCCTCGTTCTTTTTTTCGGCAACTTAATTGCTAGCCTTTCTGTTTTATTATATTTTTTGTTGGGGCGTTTGTTCTTTTCATTAAATTTACATATTTTTATTAATTAAATTGTTTACGCAATGTTTACCCGCAGAAACTTGGACGAGCGGCACTTGATGTTGCCGCTTTTTGGGTTGCACACACACAGACACACACACTCTTAGACACCCACACACACATGTTCTTGAATTACCATAGAGCTAAAAGTTCTAAACATTTTGTTTCCCAATTCGAGCTCTGCTGCAACTGTCGCAAATTAAACATTTCTCTAGTTATTTGTCCGTCCGCCGGACTTTCTCGAGTCAAGAGAGAATTGCAAAATTATAATTTTTTACGCACACCATGAACTCATTATGATTTACCCGTGGATGTCATTAAATTTCGAGTGGCGCCGAGCATTGCGCCATATTATATTATTATGGATATTGTGATGATTATTATTATTATTCTGGACCATGGAATATGCCATAGACTTTTGCTCATTCGAATTGGCCACGAAATTTGAATAAAAAAATGTTTATGTCTAATTGGATTGTTTTTGCGGATTATGGGTTAATGCCTATGAACGGCGTTACGGGTATATTATTTATGGACTACCAAGCGGGACCTGATTTGCTTAGGTGAGTTAGCAAACCAAGAAGTATATAAGGAATGGGTATAAAAATAAAAGACTTTTTCTTATAATTTATTTGTATATTCTAATAAAAGTACTAAAATTAACATGATCAATTTCTTGATTTTAGATTATAATTTCAGTTAAGTTCTTAGGAATTGTAACGCCATCACCAGCATATTCGAAATGCTGAATCATAAATCTAATCTAACTTATTTGTAGAAAATTCATGTTATTTTTAAAATTGACAATTTTATGCCTTTGGGCAGATAATATTTGCTTTAAGTTTGAAATGTA